GCTGGCATCGAGTCAAACCCAGGGCCAGAAACTTACACCTGCTGTGTATGCCAGAGACGACTACACCACAACTCCAACTCAGTCAAGTGGAATGCTTGCGATGGGTGGAGTCACCTAGGAGTCTGCTCAGGCCTACGGACACATCGGCAGTGGACCACATCATTTGTGGCCCCTTGCTGCTCAAACAGAGCAGCCTTCGCGGCTAACCCCAGTCCACCTAAGCAGCTCAACACAAACACCACAGCACCACAACACAACAGGACAATAGACCACACAACAGACACTACCGCACCACCACCCACACGCCGCCGCCAACAACTCCTGGTTCCTCCTACAATCTGCACGGTGTGCTAGACCAGGATATTCCGTAACGTGACATCAGTCAAGTGCAACACCTGCCTTGGCTGGTGCCACTTTAGGGCATGTTTAGGACCGCGCACCACGCGAGATTGGACGAGGAACTTCAAGGGCCCGTGTTGCGCTTCACAGTCACATACCCCAATTGCGATGCCACCCACTACCACCACAGGGCGGCACCCTCAACAGCACCGCACACAGAGCCAATGGCGGCCCGGCAACACACCCCACACACCCCGCATAACAACACATCTTCCGAACCACATGAAGCTCTTACAATTCAACTGTAACGGACTTCAGAGCAAGATTGAGGAGATAACCGTCTTTATGGGAAGGCATGGTATATTGATAGCTGCGGTCCACGAGACGAAGTTGCATAGCAATTCAACATTGTTGAATTGTGCGGGATAACACGTGCACCGTCGGGATCGCGCCCGAGATAATGGTGGTGGCTTAGCGTTCATCACGCACCATACCTTGCAGTATGATCTTATCGAATCAGACATCCACCGCAGGGATACCACCCTAGAATGCCAGGGCATTGCTATCCGGTCAGGCGATGTCGAGCTCGGAATATTTAGCCTTTACATACCCCCTGTGACTAGCTGCCCGGCAGAATATCACCCTGATATAGGTGCGCTCCTCAGAGGTGAAAACCGTTTGGTAGTTGGTGACTTTAATGCGCACCACGATCTTTGGCATTCAAGCTTGTCAAACGATCGTAGGGAAACAGACTTCGCTGAGCAGATAGACGATTCGACATTCTGCACAATGAACTACGACCCACCCACCAGGATTATGGGCAGCTGCTGCCAGACATAACAATAGTCAGCGCTGGTCTGATAAACAGCATATCTATGCTGACTTTGGCATCAGACCATCTGCCCATAGTCATCTCGATCGATAAACCAACCGACTTTGCTTCCGCGGAACACCGGACCTATATCAACTTTTCTTAAGCTGATTGGAAAGGCTTCGCGGAATTTACTGACAGCAACATCGCTGCGCTCCCCGCACCAACCGACGTCCACCTTGGTGAACGTAAGTTCCGCAGGGTTGTCACTGCTGCTGCAGCTCACTTCGTACCAGCAGGATGCAATACGGACCCTTCGTCAGGCCGATCCCGGAAATCCCCGTATCAGGGATCTCAACGCGGAGATTCGTCAGCTTGTGAACGTGATAAGCGGAAAAGTGGGAAGAGCATCTAAAGA